TTTTCGTAAATCTTTAGCCATACATTCAGCCTGCTCAAGTGAACAAGTTTGAAAATGCATACCTTCAGACATGGATGCAGGGACAGCTGCAGAGGTCGCAGCATCTACAAGGCTTAACTCGGGTTGTCTATGCTGGTTGCTGTCTGCCGCCTCGTCTAAAAGAAAATGTCTCTCCTTACCCTGCATTGTGGCAATGGCACTTGACGCCAACGCGGACAGCACAGTGCTCCACCTCTCTTCCTTGCTGCCAGCTAGCCGTTTGGAATCAACATGCCTTGTTCCTGGCGAGCAATGGCACAGCTTGCTTTGCATCTGAAAGCTGGTGGCTAGGCGAACAACGGTGCTGCAAGGCATGTCGTGGCCACTTTCGTATCGGCACCACGCGTGCTCAGTCACACACAAGTTGGATAGCATTGACTGAACATGACGCATGTTCCACACCTGACTTCGCCCATTGGCCTCAACGATAACCATACGCAAGGCAGACCGCTGGGCGCTGATGAGCGTGCACAAGTGAGATGTTCGAGCGGCGTCCTGCTTATTTCCGGATCCTGCGCATGGCCCTGCCAACCGAACCCACAGGCACAGCGGTTGTTCGGTTGACAAAGCCTGCAGCAAACGATTGCAATGCCCCTTAGAATGCAAATCATGATGTATGTTCTGTGTCCGGAACCCCAACTGCTGCAATAATCTTTGCCTCAAACCATCTTTATCCGATATCACCCAAGCTAACTTATTGTCTAGATTCAGAACCGGCGCTATCGGATAACGACAATCTGATAAGGGTGCTTCTACTGCAGTGGGAGATTCGCGCACTGTCAGCGACGGTTTCGCTGTGGCGACAAGCTGCGTTCACCGCGTCGGCACGACATCTGGAAGTCAAAACCCTTACAGTCACTTGCACTGCTGGGCGCTGCATCGATGGGAAGGATCAGATGACCACTGTCAGACATTTTCAAGTCGTATGCAACTGTACCTGGGCATCGCTGGATTTCACATCCGGCCGGCCCTGGCATGATCAACTTGTTGTTGCCAATATCCAGTATGCAGCGAAACGACTTGAGGCTTTTGAGGCCCAACAAAGGTGGCAGATCCGAATCAGAGATAACTGGCGCAGTAAAGCTTCCCGGCACAACAGCACCTTCGTCATTGCTCAAACGGACAGCCATGCGCTTGGCCGCAGCGGCACTTTGCGCATTCTTTCCAACGCCCTCGACACTCAATGGTTTGTTCATGCGTAAGGATTTGGCTTCAACGCCTACAATCTCTTCCATCCTGCTGGCTGTTCGGTCGCCAACCAGATTGTCGTGTGCACCAGGATCCACTAACAAACCCGGCCTATTGTCCGACAACCGAGTACGCAGATGGTACACATTGCTGTCGCTAGCACCTGCCTGGGGTGAGGCCCAATCGACCTCCGCCCTTGACACATCATCGGTCTCCCACCAGGCCATCAGCAGTGAGTTGAGCTGTAACACGGTTCTTTGTCGCTCAAGCTCTTCAGCGCTTGGACCTGGTTGGCTCGGAGGAGGGTGCTTTGGCACGGGTGCTCCAGGTTGAAGTGTTTCTACTCGAGATCCACTACTGCTCGCAGGTTGTGAGGACACATCAGCAACACTCCACCTGGGTGGACTATCCGGACCTACATTCGACCGACGCGACTTGTGTGATCGGTTGCTGCTGACCTGTGACACACTTTCAAGTCGGGCGATGTCTTCATCCAGCGCGGTCATCATTCTCGAACCTCCTGCCTGAGAAGACATTTCACTGGCCGGTCGAGGAGTACCGACATGATAGTGGAATGCAACTCCTGGCATGGCACTGGCGACTGCACCAGCATGCCAGGCTTCTGCTTGGGGAGCCACAGCAGAAGCGGTCAAGGCAAGCGCTGCGTTTGCCATCTCCGTGGAATGCAAAGTACTCACGCCTTTTCCACCGCCTTTGTTCACTACTTGTGGGCATTTTCGCCAGAGATGCTCATCCGAACCGCACTTGCTGCATCGCAGGATCTGTCCATCTCGGCCTTTCGGATTCTTTCGGGGCATACCCTTGCCAGCTCCCTTGGACCCATGACCTCCCTTGCCACCTGCGAAGGCACTTGGTGGAAGGAAGGCTGCATAGCTACGAGCATATGGACCCGTACGTAGCTTGCTGACATTACGACTTGCCCTGAAATTTGACCTACGATAGCGTCGAGGAGGTTTCCCAGTAAACCTACGCCAACGACGTCTAGCCAACACATAATCCTGATACAGTTCGTTCTCTCTAGCATTGGCGTCGCTTCTTGCTTCACCATCAACATGAACCACGTTGTAGCCCCTGATTCCTTCATCTACTGAGCCCGTGTCTGTCTCCGTAGCTGAAGAAAACTCTTCATCCTCAAAGAATGATCCACAGGTATTGCACCTATCATCATCGCCTCTAGGGCCATTACTTGAGGCACCCCCAACATATTGACCCATGTCTTCGGCATCACCGGCTGCAGCGCAAGCAGCGCTGGTTGTGGGAAACGCTGCTGCCGCCCACGGGTCAAATCCCCCGCCACACGCACCGATCCCTGCATTTAGATCCAACGGCTCCCCAGTTGCATTGCGACTCGAAGTGGCGGAATGAAAAGTTGGATAGAAGTGATAGGTGCCAGGATCACCCACGCCAGCTTGCTGACTGGGATGACGAAGATGACCCTCATATATATGGCCTTGCCTACGGATTCTTTCGAGAAGGGCAAGCAGCTGTGCTTCATTTTGAGGAAGGTTACCATTTAGAGGCTGTAACAAACGATCCAATTGATCTGCAGTCACACTCAACGCGCGAAGCAGCAACCAGGCAAGTCCCTGATGATTGAGTCCAAGTCCTCCTCGGACTGCTGCGCGATTTCGAAGCACATCGAAACGCACGAGAAACGCGTCTACGTTTTCCTGTGCAAGCCTTTGGAAATTCAAGAAGTCGCTCACAGCTCGCGTTTGCGCCTCGCCATCTAGCGGACTGTATCTGCGGGCTAACGTCTGCACTAACAGCATAAGCCCCGTCATGTGCTGGCCTGTCTGAGCGTCAACAACGCCTTGAGCTAGCTGCTCTGGCGGTATTTCCCTCACCAATTCCTTGGCGCTGCCAGTGACTTGCATCGCCGCTATGGCTCCTTGGCGAGCAGCCTCTACATCAGTGGCACTCGCCCACAGCACCAAATCACTGATCCAACTGCGCAAGGAATAGAAATGGTTTCGTTCTACGGACCATGCCGGAGGAACTTTCAGCGTCGCGGTCCCCACATAGGGTGGGCCCGCGTCGCCGACATGTGCATGCTGACGCGGATATTGCTGACCTTGACCTCTGTTGAACCCCGGACTCATCATTGCTACCCCGAAAACACATATGGCCACCCCGAACCACCGCAACCACAACGCAACCTTACTGCTTGCTGCTCGGCGCTTCCGCGTCATTCTTTCACGTTTCCGGCGTCTCTTGCGCTCCTCGCCCTCATGCAAGCGGCGCTTGTGCAAATTCTTGTCATTCGGACGCCTAAACATGCTCATGGTCCTTGGCTCGGGAGTTGTTGGCATTGAGGAATTGCCGAAAGAACCACTCCAGTTGCCAGTCCAAGTCTGCAGCTCCTGACTCGATTTGGCTGCTGGACTGGGGAGTTGACACAGCACGGCATTCAGGCTTGGCATGAGTCTCTCAGGCACATGTAGATTCTTAAAGGCAGTGATGTCAGTACCACATCCAAGTCGCATGTTTGCATCACTCGGAGTGACAGAGCCGTCCTTCACTTCAAAATGGGTTGCGACAACCTTAATGGGAACCCTTGGGACTAGACCCCTACGAGTAGGGCTTGTCTCCGGCTCACCTGCAAACGAAGACTCTGGCGTCTTCGGGCGTGGCACATCTTCATTGTCAGGGGTAGTGTTATTATCAGGGAGGCCTATAACCGTACGGGTAGAGGAATGCACAGGCAACAATGCTTTCGCGCGTCGTGGTTCGCTGGTCGTCACGCCCGAGTCCGGTGCATCCTCCTCGCGTTCCGTTGACTCCACGGGCCACCCATGATCGGACGAGCGGGCGTGCACCACATCGTCACCGACATCACTGCCAGTCACGAAGTGGAGTCCCTCGGCTGTCCGGTCAATGGATTCCTCTGTCCGGTGATCCACAGGAAGTAAATCGCGTCCACTCATCTGAACATCAAGCTCATCTAGCACTGTGATCAATCTGCTCAGCGTCGTCTCCAGTTTGGAAGTCATCGTCGCCTTGGCCATCTCGGCACTGGTCGAATTCTGCTCCTGAATATCATCGCGTGCATTCGTCACAGACGTCGACTCTTGCAATGAGAACTCGCTGTATTTGCGCTCCTCCGCCATCACTCCGCCCCACTCCAACGTGTCACTTCCCTCCAGATAGCATATGATCATGAAGATCGTGACGATCGGGAGCACGCAGAGAAAATAGCGCAATGGAGGAACCAAGCGAGAGCAACCTGAAAGCCCCGCTACCAAGTCGAAATCATGATCGTCGGAAGGATCTGCATGGAGAATCACACGACTTCGCATGGCATCGCGCCCTTTTGCCCTGGAATGGCTCATGTTGCAAGAGTCTTTATCTGTCGTGCACAGTACGAGTATGCACACAAGTACAGCCTAGCTTAGGCTGGGAAGGTCTTCTTCGAAACCCAATTAATATGCAATCTCTGCCTCGAGGCTCGAAAGGCAACAACGGCAAAACCAAGACTCAACAAAAGCAACACGTAGTCGGACAGCACCTGCAGGCGCATTTACTTCTTAACTTTAGAATAGGGTTGTGGGCATCCGCTATAGTAAAGCTATACTGGGACCATAAAGGAATACTATGAGAAATTATTCCGACCCCTAAATGGGGGTTTCCGAAAATAGGGGACCACCCCAATAAATATCCCCAATACTTGGATTCCCTTATAATAAGAACCCCGATAAGGTACCCTTAATTTAGGAAAACATATAAGTCAGGGTCCGATCTGAGGCTCTCACCGCCCTGCGTGGTCACCTGCTTGACCCAAGACTGGATCACCTGCCACGGTTAGGGATCGGGGTGCAGGGCTGGGGGCTCCGACGCTCACGTTGGCGCACCCTCAGGCAACGAAAGGTGTCCGAAGATCTAAACAGAAGAGTGCGCCCACCACAGCAACTGCGAAATGCATATTCGCTGGTACACAGAGTGAGAAAAGAATACAGTGAATGCAGGTAGGCCAAGGAGTCTGCTTAGGGTTTGGGTTGTTTCGTCCGGCTGCTCTCCATCTCTGATCCTCCCCGAAGTTCTAGGATGTCAAGCCTCAGCCCTTTCTGCGTCTACCCCTAAGCTCTATAAACCTTGTAAGCCCTGTAATCCCCTTAAACCCTGTAAACCCTGTAAAGCCTAGAAAACCTGAAAACCCGAAGGCCCTTAGCCTAAACCTCTACCCCTGAGCCCTATAAACCCTATAAGCCCAATAAGTCCTATAAACCCTATAAACCCTACAAGCCCAATAAGCCCTAGAAGCCCTATAAACACTAAAAAGCCAATAAGCACAATAAGCCCTATAAGCCCTGTAAACCCTATAAGCCCCATAAGCCCTATAAACGCAGAAAACCTAGAGACCGTAAGACCCGAAACCCGAAACCCGAAACCCGAAACCCGATCAGCCGCCTGAACGTTCTCCGACTTCAGGGCCCCAACGGTGATCATGACCTCACTCTGGCTTGCATGTATTGGAGTATTAAAGTATTTTATAATGTATTGTAGTACTACAGAATTTTATTATTATAGTATTGTACGTAGTATTATAGTATTGTGGTATTGTAGTATTATGGTATCATAGTATTAGTATTACAGTATTTTAGTATTATATACGCACTTCGGGGGGTTTCACTCTCGGGTGTAGTACTGTAGGGGTTATCTAAACTCTAAACCCTATAAACCCTATAAACCCTATAAATCCTATAAACCCTAAACCCTAAACCCTGCCCTTGTTCCTTCCCGCTTCCAAGCATGGCTGGGGCTGGGAGCTTGTGGCGGGTTTAGCGATCAGAGTCTCGGAAAGTAAGCTATCTACTTCATAGAACTCATAGATTTAGTTTTTCATTAGGGGTGCGTGGGGTAAATGAAGTATATGAGGTGTACAGCTTAGGGTTCAATTCGCCAAGGTACAGGAGGTTAGCATGGTTCAATCATCACATGGTCCTGTTGGCGCTCAAGAGGCTGAGACCGACATGTAGCTTCTGTGGTTATGTCTCGAACTCTCACAATGTGGAGAGCACACATCACTGTCATTTCCTTATAAGTATGTTTTTGGGATCCCTAAACCCTTTCCCCTAAACCATGTAGTGGACGCGTTCCACCGGGCTCCAGACGCCACCCCAGAGACTAAAGACTAAAGCCCTCTCGGTGGCCAACCATGTTGAGACCGGCCGGCGCACTGCTGCTGCCCTGGGCTGCTGCGCGATGTAGGGTTTGGGGTTTAGGGTTTAGGGTTTAGGGTTTAGGGTTTAGGGTTTAGGGTTTTGGGGGTAGGGTTTAGGGATGTTTGTTTAGGGCTTAGGGTTTGTTTGGGGTTTCGGGTTCGGCTCTCACCCGCACCGAGTAGGAGCTTAGGGCTCGAAGTTCCAGAAGTCCCGGGCCGCTTCGCGAAGGTCTTATGTAACAAATGCGGCGTAGCAGAAATACCTCCGACTCACGACTTCCCGGGCCAAGGCTGCTGTAGCACTTTGTGGCATGGTCGGTTTAGGGTGTCGGTAGACGTTCGAAGCTCTAAAAAAAAGTCAGGAATCCAAGTCCTACAAGGGCACTAAAACCCACCTTCGAGGTCGAAGTCTCTGAGTAATGTTTTTCGGAGATACCTTGGGGGAAGCAGAGTGAACTCATAGCCCAAAGCCCGGAGCATCCCTGAACGCTACACCCTAAACCCTAAACCCTAAACCCCACACCCTAAACCCTAAACCCCAAACCCTAAACCTAAACCCCAAACCCCAAACCCTAAACCCCAGACCCCAAACCAAGGCCGTGCGAACACCGGGCCCCAGACCAGCATCTGTGAGACCAGCTGACCGCGCTGATTCGGCCGGCCTCGGCGCCGTGGAGAGGCGACGCTGCTCCGATGTTTAGGACTTAGGGTTTAAGATCACTAAACCCTAAACCCTAAACCCTAAACCCTAAACCCTAAGCCCCTAACACCAAACCCCAAACCCCAAACCCTAAACTTAAACCCCAAATTGCTTTACTGAGGCGAAGTCCATACCAATCCTCACGAAGCGTCTGTGAGGCGACGACTGCTGCCCAGGTCGTCGCCGTCCGTGAGGCAAACCAGCCACCGCAGCGCCTGGGAGTTGTAGGGTTTAGGGTTTAGGGTTTTTTTTTTGGCAGCCATGCGCATGCAAGAGCTTTGGCGTGTCTTTTGAACAAGTGGGGGCAGCGCGTCGGCGCAGATTCCAGGAAAGACAGGAAGCGGGGGTCCTTATTAAGGAGGTGTTTGAGGCCTAAGAAGTCTTGCCTGTGTTCCTCCGTATCTATGCGGTTTAGCCTTATGTATTCTTTAAGTACAGGTAATGCATACTCCGTGTTGAGGGTGCCCTCTATGTGAAGACTTGGTGAATTTGATCCTATCCTTCCAACCCGGAGAGTATACTACATGGTGCACCGGATTGTCAGGCGGTGTAGCCAAGCTATTTGCCAGTTGCTTTAACTGGGCAGAGGTCAAAATTTGGGATGGTAGCGTGGGTCGGCCAGCTAGCGTCCATACCCGCCTATTCGAGATGTGGGAATAATATGAATCCTTAACTCCTAGTGCTCTACGAAGATATCTGTAGTACCAGGCATCTATGGTCTTTAGGTGCTTAATTTCCAGAGTAAGCGTATCCAATCCGTACAGTAAAGTAGGCAGGACTGTGGCATGGAAGATTCTAGTTTTAGTTTTAGAATTGATGCGCGGGTTTAGGGTTTAGGGTTCAGGGTTTAGGGTTTAGGGTTTAGGGTACAAGTCTAGGGTCCCTCAACCCTAAAACCCGAAAACCCTCTGGATATTTCATTCCTGCGCGAATATCCGTGTGATGTGCTTGGAACCTGGACCTGGAGTCCTCGGATTAGGGTAGGTTTAGGGTACTGTAGCCCAGTAACCATATTGTGTTAAGGGCACCCTTTTTGGGGGGTTGGTTATTTGATAAGGGAACCTTGAACCCAAAAAAAAGGGGAAGCGGTACCACTGGCCTCCAAGTCTCCCTTCTCGAATGAGTGCAGTCTATACTGAACTTGGCACCCTAGTAAAAACCCTAGAAACCCAAAACCCTAAACTTTAAACACAGGGTTGGCAAGGAATCTATCCCCGTACCCGGCCGAGCTGCCCCAAACCCTAAACCCTAAACCCTAAACCCTACACCCTAAACCCTAAACCCCCACAAACTCGGCTCTTGTTCGACTCCGCCGCCTCCGAAGGAACCAGGTTCGGCCTCGAAGGGCCAGACTTAGGGATGCAGGCACTTCTGGGCACCAAAACGGGTGCTGACCAAAACCCCGTCTCTGGTTTATAGTTGGGATAGTAATAAAAATTTAAAATTTTATTCTTATTGAGTTTAAGTACCCTTAAAAAAATGTAAAATGTTATCCCACTATGACAAAGGTCTAGGTTGCCCAGCAACCTAGGGCTGTGGGTTTTGGGTTTAAGGGTGCCCCTTGATTTTGATAAGCCCCCGGCTGCCCAAGCATCCTCAGACACTCTAAGACCTGGCCCATGCTGAGGAGTTGATGGATTTGGGGGTTTTGGTGGCTTTGGGGTTTGGTGGTTTTGGGGTTTTGGCATTTTGGAGTTTTTGGGTGTTTTGGGGCTTTGGGGTTTTGGCGACGAATCGACTTGCTTCCCACGTCCCCGCAACGGCTTTACTCTAGATCTTACAATGGCAATGCGAGGTGCTTCAAAACCAGCCGAGACCTCTCAACACCGGCAACAACACGTAAACCCCTGTGGCCACCATACATTGATGCAACACAGCTGGGAGTCTTTCGAAACATACTTCAGAATGCACAGCCACGCCGCGAAGCCCGAAAGCAACTATAGAAAACGTGGCTGCCAGGCCGCATCATAAAAGCAGGTGCCTGCGATCATGCAGACAGGTGGAGGTTCTAACAGAATTGGATGGCCTCGAAACTTGAACTTGCGTATCTTGCACACACAGAGGCTACTGACAAAGTAGAGGCTCCCAGCAACTTACAGATGTCCTAAACCCTATTTTCTAAGGGCTCATGGCTTGGATTCCCAGCTTCGGGAAGATGAGCTGGACAAACAGGAGGGGTGTTGTTCAAGATTAGCGCGTCAGCCCATGCACGAGCAGATTCCTCAGAAGGGGTCCCCAATGAGCACCCCCAGAACCTTGTTTAGAACTGCCAGTTGGCTTCTGCTGGCTTCTTGTTGCTTCTTTCAGAATGGAGGGAAGCTCCAGAGCTCACTTAGCGGTACCTTGAACAAGCAAGGCCCAAGGTCCAAGCTGCTGCCGGACTGTTGCAACTTGCTATGCAGCAGCACAAGAGGACGGTTGGCTCAACTGCCATGTGACATACTCTCGACCCTTGCAGACCATGACGTCCAGCAAAACCTTCCAGAGGCTCTGCGGTACGTTCAAGGTGCGTAGAGTGTGGAGGCCGTGTGCCTCACTACCACGCGGCATATATTTCAAACGTTCTGACAGCCACGTCAGTCATACACCAGTGATATACATATGTCTGTATGTGTGTATATATGTATGTATATGTATATATATATATATCTCTGTATATCAGGGCCCCTACCCTGCTGGACCTTGACAACAAGTCTAGGCTCCCCCGGCCTCCTGCCGTGGCAGGTTGCAAGCTTGCGATGCGGGTCTGCAGCATTCGTCCCCCCACCCTGCGCCACGAAACGATACTGCCAACTGCTGCAAAAAAACCCACAATCGACATCAGAATCAAAGGTTGTTGACTTAACTGTTTGGCGTCTGCTGCGAATCAAGCAGGGCTACGCTGGTGCTCCATGCTAGGACTTTGAGGTGGGTGGCATGGCTCACGCAAAAGCAGCTCTTTTCAGCCCCATGGACCTTTAGACTGCAAATCCTGAGTCTTGACCATGAAACCCCCAAACCCCCAAAGTTTAGGGTTTAGGGTTTAGGGTTGAGGGTGACTTGCAAATGCAACCCTAAGGCCCCCCACACTCGTAAATGAACCACCGAACCGGAATCGAAACCCGAAGTCCAAAAGCTGTAAAAGCCCTCAATTCCAATGCCCTAACCTGAAGGCTCTCACGTAGCTCCTTTTCGGGTTAGTTATAGGGGCTTAGCGTATGCTACACCAAAAACGCACCACATTAGCAGCCTTTGGGGCTTTAGCCCGAAACCCTAAACCCTGAACCCTAAACCCTCGACCCTTTTTGCATCCGGACTCAACCCTCAACCCCCTAAACCCCTAAACCCAAAAACCCTAAACCCTAAACCCACTAAGTCTTGGCCCCTGGCCCTTTGGGTGTGGGCGGGATGATCGTTTGAACCGTGGGTCCGAAGCAGACCACACCGACCTGGGAAGCCCGCCGTTTTTTTGTTTTTTAATGTGAGGGGTTTAGGGTTTAGGGTTTATAGTGCTTAGAGGGGGTTTGTAGGGCTTATGGGGCGTTGTAGGGTGGTATGGGTTTATAGGGTTTTATAGGAAGTATGGGGGTATGTGGGTTTGAACAGGGCTTTATGCAGGGTTTAGACAGGGTCTTGGGGGTTTGTAAGGCTGCAGGGCCCTTTTTTAGGGTTTTTATTTGGAGGGCTTATAAGGTTCACATATGAGGTTTAGGGTTACAGGAGTCTTTCCATATACCCCCGCAACAAGCACAGCCCCTCTTGTCGGACTAGCCCCCCACCCACCCCCCATCCCCTAACCACCTCCACCAAAAAAAAAACGGAACCCGAAACCCTAAACCCCTATTTAGGAACCCGAAACCCTAAACCCCTATTTAAGAAACGCTGACTTGGCCCTTGCCAGGGTTGAGGGGCGCCTAAGATGGCTCCTTCGCCACCAGCCTAGCTGAGCTTGGGATGCAGTGCGGGGCTTGGGGTGGGCTTACATTAAGAACCCGCAGAACCTACCTTTTTTGGTACGTCTCCCAAGAATTAATATAAGAAAGTAGGTTTTTGGGTTCTTCACGTAGGGATTAGGGGGTAAAGCCCGCGCAGCCTCAGAAAGCCTCGCACTAAACTCTAAACCCTAAACCCCAGACCCTAAACCACGATGCAAGCGCCGCGCCAGGTCAGTGTCGCGCACCTGGTCGCGAAGAATGCGCAAGATGCACCTGAGAGTGGTGCGGACAGGTCATGCGAGGCTTGTGGAGTGCGGTGTGGGTTCTTGCAAGTGAGATGAGAGTCTTGGGAAGGAATTATGAAGGTATATGACCCCAATTTTAGGGTTCAGTTGGTCCCCAAGGAAGAGTATGTCGAAAAGTTCTGGGGCTGTATCGAGAAGGCTCATGGATAACTACGCAGTGAAGTTGCTACTCTTTCTGCTGCTGCCGAAGCTGTGGGATGCAAACGAACGAACAAGACGCAGAAACAAAAGCGAGTCTCGAGCAAAGCCCTTTCAGAATGGAGGAGTCAGACCCTGTACGGCAGGGTGCGTGCCTTTTCTCGTGCCTTTCATGACAACTGTCTCTGAAGTCTGCCGGTCCTGGCCACTTCAGAAGCAAACAAGACTGGACACAGCTCCATGCTATCACATCTTGCTGAGGCATCCACCTTTGTTAACTCTTCTAGCTGTTCCCATTCACTGTTGGTCGACCCAAGGCATCTGCATTCTTTATGGTCCAGCACCCATCGAGAAGTCACGAGCTCATGGCTGATGTCTGAGCATCGTCGCTTGAGGGTCGGAGGGTCGGAGATGGCTTCCAGGCTCTGCAACTTCTGCTGGCCGGCACATCAGGCATCGGTCCCTCCATGCTGGTGCTTCCCGAATGTGTGAGCACGGACGAACCCGCAGCAGTCGAACAAGGCGTCCCCTGGTAGCAAGCCTGGCCCATCAGTCTTCTGGCTCAGGGTGGTTTACAGAGTTTCCAAAACGCCTGGCTTCATTTGCAATGCTCGCGGAACCACTTTTGAAAGATGCGCCGGTGGCCAAGCTTGTGGATGCCTTAGATGACCAGACCGAACCCCGAAGCCCAACGTAGGGATTATAGTAGGGGGGGACGACAATCCCTGTTAAGGACTGGTAGAGTACTGTTAGTACTAGGGGGAACATCCCAACCTGTATCATCTGTGTGCAAGTCAGGGTCCAATGCTCTCGAAAAACCGATCGTCCACCTCAATTGACAAGAGCTGAACCGCAAACATGTTTTGGGATTGGCTGTATTGATTTAGGCCTTCCAGGTTTCAGCATTTAAGCTTCTGCGACTTCTCTTCTTGCTACAGGAACGCTCAACACTGGACACGTTGCTTCCCACTGCCCGGAACAGAAACTTAGGAATGTGTATGAGCATCAAGAGTATGAAGAGCATGCAGAACCTAAACCCCTAAACGCAAAACCCTCAACCTTACAGGCCTAAATGCTGAAGCAACGCAGGCATAGCATCAACCGGCTATCAACAGCCAAGGCAAGCAAGCCACCTCGCCCCCATGGACGAAGAGGGTCAAGATTTGCTCCAAGGAATCGAACCTGAGGGTGCAAAGGCGAGCATCTCCAAAGCCGAGGTTATGGGTCTTGTTGCGCTTGCTGACACCGCCTAGCTGACTGTTCTAGGTGCTAGTTTTCCTGCAACCTTCCGCAAAAATAGCAGGCAGGATGTGCGATTTGAGGGCAGAGGGGTCTCTCCCAGACATATTCCTGGGTAGGTCATGGGATTCATGTGGGGACAGAGCACAGGTTGGTGCCATGCAGGGTCTGGATGCAAGGGAATGCCCAGACGATGAGTCTCAGTTGAAGCAAGCGTGGTAGAACCTTGGCCCACTGACCACACGTCCCCACCCTGGTAGGCACAAAGGAAAACAATCTTCTACACTGTCTACACCGATTCACCATCCGTGTCGAATGAGGACACCCAATCCAGCAAACGTGTAAACCCTGGACCTCATTTATTGGAAAGCACTTTGTGACGGTGACCTAAAGGCCCTTCCATCCTGCCTGACACCCAAAAAACCTGTGCAACCCCTAAGCCAAGCCACTGGGAGGTCAGGGCGTCGTGGTAGGGCAGAACGAACCTGCTTTTGGCGGTTTGGGGCTCTTATTCGGCATTTCTGACGAGTGCAGCAAAACGAAGCATCACAGTCGCAAGGATTGAGCTCCCGAGCCCTACATCCCAAACCAGGAAACCAAAACGCGTAAAACTTGCCCTACCAGCCTAAACCCTACGCTCTGCACACAGAAGGAAGGGCCCCCTAAGGCCCTGCAAGTCCTCTTCTAGGGCCCTCAAAGCCCACATCCTAGAACCTTTGACCTCCAAATGTGGCCGGGTCACTGCGCGTCCTCCATGGACTGAAGCCATGACCTAAGCTCCCCCCAACGCACCCAGGGTTAGTGGAGGGTTTCGGACTATCAAGGGCGATGTTCCGTTTTTATTACACAATATGAAAAGCAGCGACAATCACACACACAGATACATATATCTATAGATACATACATATGTAAATATATCTATATATATATATGGAATGAATTAGAAGTAAACATGTACATATATGCATGTATATATATATATATACATATGCATACACACATTGATATGTATATTTATGCTTACATCTCTATTCCTCGGCCTACAACATGTGCATATGTTCATGCATGCATACTTATGTATTTGTGTGCTGTTGTATATTGTGGTTTGACTTTGTGGCTAGTGGTTTCACTTTGTGGCTAGAGGGCTGAAAGGCATTGGGTCTAGGACCGTTTTTCGGTGGCCTAAACTTTCAACGTGCCAAGTTTTGCCAGCTCTAGAGGTGTTCCCCGCGGGTGCGCGAAGGAGCGCCAATGCTGTTCAGGCGCTTACTTGGAGGTTCATGGGTAGTTATAAACGGGTTTAGAAGTAGGGTAACCATGCTTATAGGGTACTTATAACCCTACTTATAACTGCCCATGAAACTTCAAGTACATTCCAGGGTTGTGGAGAAGAAGTAGGTAGCACTGAGGTCTGAGCCGGCGGCACGATCTGAGATTTCCAGTTGGCATTTGCCAGCTCAGGGCGTTGGGGGCCTTCAGGTTGTCTAAGGTTCGGGGGTATAGAACTTACTTTGCTGGGAGGCCATTTGGGGTTTAAGGGTGCTTTTCAGAGACGCCAATGGAGCCCGGCAACTTGAAGCTCTCCGGCATTGGCAGTGAGCATCGCGGGGGCGCCTCTTGCTTGGTCACCAACCAGCTTGCACTAAGGGCACCCTGTTTCTTTTTGAAAAAAGGGTACCGCGGGCTACCAAGCTTGTATTGTGACTGACTCTGATGATTACTGTACCTAGCTGCTGTTAGCCGTCGTTGCTGCTACTGGTATGATGATGTTTCTGCTACGGCTATGATCAGCAACTGGCTTTAGTTTTTGACCGCCAAGCTCTCACTCGTATAAGTACGAAGACCGGACATCGCACCCTTTCAGCACTGTTGATCAAGGTTCACCCTCAGAGCCCCTCTGTTGGAGATGACAAAGGGGGCCAAGGGGCAGCAGCTCCACCACAGAGGTTCTGCAATGATGCTCAGTTGAACATGAGGTGGACATGAACTTGTGGGCAAAACAGAAGGCCTTCCAGACCCTAAGACCCTAAACCGCCAGCAAGGCTTGGATCACGGTGGGGCGATGTGCTTGTAGACTAGACCGCGTGAGCAAAACCCCAAGTGGGTGGAAAAGAACTAGTCTGGGGGGCGAGACATCAGTTACTACGGATGGCCAGGGGGGGACGGTGAGGTCTACAATGCCACCATAGGAGCAACACTTATGTGGTCCTGCTGGCTGCAGTGGAAAAAACGGGACAATGCCAGAACCACAGTCAGTCTTCTTGCATTTTCTGGGACATGGCACGTTGTATGCACTATGCCATATACAAACTGTGTATTGCAAAGCAGAGTAGGAGCACGTCAAAAGCGTACGGAGAGTGCAAACAACCTTTTTGGGCAACCCAAACCCTAAACCCTAAACCCTAAACCCTAAACCCTATAAACCCTAAACCCTAAACCCTAAACCGTAAACCCTGCATGATCTTTGGGCAAGAGAAGCGCGGGCCTCAGTCGCTGCCTCTGGAAGCCGTGGTTGGGGTGCCGCGGAGGATGCCGGAGAGCCCTGGCACCCACCCCAAACTCTTAACCCAACAAAGGTTTTAGGGTTTTAGGGTTCAGGGTTCAGGGTTCAGGGTTTTAGGGTTTTAGGGTTTTAGGGTTTTAGGGTTTTAGGGTTTTAGGGTTTTAGGGTTTTAGGGTTTTAGGGTTTTGGGGTTTTAGGGTTTTAGGGATTTAGGGTTTTAGGGTTTTAGGGTTTAGGGTTTTAGGGTTTTCGGGTTTTAGGGTTTTAGGGTTTTAGGGTTCAGGGTTGAATCTTCTGGCCTCGCGCACCGTGGAGCCACGAAAACTGGAAATGGGAAAGGCTACGCTGCTAGTTGCCAAGGTAAACATGCGTAGATCGGATCCTCCTGAACTCAACAAGGCAAAACAACTCAACAAATGTCAATGTCATGTATAAACTCTACCGACTCTACCAACAACAAAGACAACGTCGGGCTTTCTGCATCTGAAGTCAGTGTGTTGGCATGTCCCCCCCTACCCTACAGTCCTGAATAGGGAGTAAGGCAGGGGGCTATTAAGGACTGTTCGTATAAGGGGGAACATCCCAAATCTGAAGTCAAGGTACCTGGAGTGTGGTATCTGTGCTCGAGAGCGGTGTCAGGCCAAGCGCCTGCAAAGAGGCATCGCCTTAGGAAAAGCAGCTGGGCTCAGCTACCCCAACAAACTCAACAAGCAGAAACACGCACTTTTATGGGCATCTGCTTGGTTTCTCATCTTCGCCACAGTCTGGGAAAAGCACGGCATGACTTAACCAAAGTTGACGCCGCCGCAGAGATCACCGCAACCCTTCGAGTCTTCTCAGCCCAGTCGCCAACCATGCGCCCAGTTCCGCCACCTGCAGCAAGGCAAACCCTAAACCCAAAACCCTAAACCCTAAGCCCTAAACGCTATAGGGAGCATGTTTGAATAGAATGGGTATGCTGGGCGTACAGCGGACCGAGGTCTGCTGCGTTTAAGGTGAAGCGCGAATGGTAGCTGACGTCCTAAGGGCCTACACGGGATTGGTGAAGACACGGCTTTTACATTTGCATGGTATCCCCGGGATGTAGCGCATGGCACCCAGGGCAGCGTCCCCTGCTGATCAGAATTCTATTCAGCATATTTGACCATGATCTATAAAAGGGACCTGATTAACAACAGCTCATGATCCCGAAGTTCTCTGAAGGCTACTCAGCTACTTCCCTTGCCAGGCCGCTCTTGTAGCGCCCCCTGTCTGCAGCCTCGGCTCTTCGTCTTCTTCGTGAGCGTCGGTGGCGCTTTCTTTCAATGGTTGGCTACGCCAAGAATCCTCCGAAACCTAAACCCTAAACCCTGAACCCTCAACCCTAAACCCTAAGCCCTAACCTCAAAGATGTCCACCAGCATCCTCAAGACCACCCGAGCCGACCTTCCAAAATGGGATAAAGCTTTTGGCGAGGTGCTCCCCAAGCCTCGGCTGCACGTGACAAACGGGTGAAACTAGGGTCTATAAGGAGGGGCCACTTACTAAACCAACTGTAGTTAAAGGACTTATAACCTCATTTAGGATCCTTATAACCCAATTTAGGGTTCTTATAACTCTACCTATAACTAGCCCCCCCCCCCCCCCCCATGTAGGTTTTTTTTTTTATAACCTAGAAGGGGGAAGCTAGGGTCTGGGGGTTTAATATAACCTTGAGGGGGGCAAAAAGGGGGAAGCTGGGCTTGAGGCTGTAGAAAGTTTCAGGCTTTCTTTGTTTGAAGGGGGGAACCCTAACCCTAAACCCTAAACCCTAAACCCTAAACCCTAAACCCTAAACCCTAAACCCACCAGCCCGCTCCCAAAAATGACTCCTCCAGCTAAAGTTCCGATGCTACCCATCCATCCTGACTTCTCCCTACTCCCTACTATAAGGCCCAAGGTTCGTGGGTAGTTATAAGTGGGGTTGTGAGTGGGGCAAGTATACTTATAACTGGTTATAACCTTGTTTCTATAGGGTACTTGTAACCCTACTTATAACTACCCATGAACCTTCAAGTAGCTCATCCTCAATGAAGCCCCGTCCGGGCCTGATGTTCAGTTTTGGGCAGGGGTGCTCAGGAAAAATCGCACCACCAATCCAGAACTTCAAACTTCAGATCTCATGTTGGGCCGGCCCGTTTATAACCCGCCAAGACGTGTTCCGACTTCATCATGGTCGTCGTATACCCAACACATCATTTCAAAGAAACCATAAACCCTCCAAGAACCAAACCATTCTTCCTGTAACCCTTTTGCAACGGGACCCTAAACCCTATAAGCCAAATCCCAAAAGCCAACCAACCTTACAAACACTATAAACCCTACAAACTTGATAAAAAAAAAACCTATAAACCCCTAGGTTCCCATGAGCTCTGTAAACCCTAAACCCCAGTAGAAACCTGACTCAAACCCCTATAAACTCTATAAACCCTATAAACCCTACATCCTTAACCCCAAGCCCTAAACCCTAAACCCGACATGGGGCTCTCCTTCACCTCCCCTAGAACCCTCGAAACCCTATAAACTTAACCAGAAACCCTCTGCACCCTATGCACCCTATGAACCCAATGAACCCTATAAACCCCAAACCCTACCCCCAACCCGAATTCTAAACCCGAAACCCGAAACCCGAAACCCCAAACCCTAAACCCTAAACCCCAAACCCTAAACCCCACATGGAGCTCTCCTTCACCCCAAGGGGCGGAGACGGGCCCTCGGGGCCGCGGCGCCCGCGGGCCCAAGGGGCGCCGCGGCGCGGCGCCGCTGAGCTCCAGGAGCTCCAGGAAGGGCAGCTCCCTGGGGTTTAGGGTTTAGGGTTTAGGGTTTGGGGTTTGGGGTTTGGGGTTTGGGGTTTGGGGTTTAGGGTGTAGGGTTTTAGGGTGGCTTACAGCACTTGTAGGGCTTGTTGGGTTTGCAAAGGGTCAGGGTTCAGGGTGTAGGCTTTAGGCTCAAGGTACGGCTTGGGCTGAAAATGATGACATGTTTTCGGACTGTTGGGATTCCCTTGCAAGGAAAGGGCCATTTAGGGCTTCGATGATTTTGGGGCCAGCCTAGTTTCTCCCCGAACCTTTCAATTATGGCAGGAGTATTCATACCCAAAAATGCCGCAAAAGGTTAAAGGTTACCTACTCAGCTACTAAGCCAATGGCCGGCTTCTTGAGTGAACTCCTGAGGTACCTTTAGATGGCTTCAGGATGGACACCGGGATTGCTAGCAATGCGTGGTAAGCAGTTTTCACACCGGAAATCAAAATCCCAATCCAGGCCGGAGACCTTCGTATGCATGAGGCATGAGGCCTGAAGCCACCTGCTGAGTTTGATTCGTGAAGAAGTTGGCTCAAGTGTCCCGAATCCCGAGCCTGTCCACATACGGCAGCATCTGCTCCTGCAATGATTCGCTGGCTGTGAAGGCGTAGCAAGTGCTTCTCAGGAATCCTTACCACCAACCCCTGAAGCCAACAACCGTGGAAACCTAAACCCTAACCCCTAAACCCTAAACCCTAGGGCATCCTTTCAGCTCCAGACTTCGGGTTCGGCGCCAGTAGCTGTCTTCATCACACCGGTGCTCGGTCCTCTGCCACAAGCTCGGCCACCCACTTCGGCCAAGGCCTCCGGGACAACTGACGATTAGGGTTTAGGGTTTAGGGTTTAGGGTTTGACAAGACTGGCAGCTATATTACCTGCAAGGAGGGCTCGAGGAAGAGTGCCATCGCGCATGTCCCGACTTCCTTCGGTCCGAAAGACGCTCTAGACATACGTCATGTTCTGGCGGAAAAGTTTGAAGGTCTGACCCTCTAAGCCCTATATGCCCTGAATCCCAATTTCAAAGCTCGACACCCCTTTAAACGCTAAACTTCCAATCAACCCAAACCCTATGAATCCTGAAGCCCTGTCTCTAAACCTCAGGCACTCGACAAGCCCAATAGCGCCTTAACACCCTGTACTTTCTGGAACGTATAAACCCCGTCAACCCTAAACCCTGGACCCCAAGACCCAACGTCGCCTGGGCGCTGGCTTTGGTGGCCGTGGGGGCGCCGGGCCGAGCGAACCCTGCCAAGGCTCGGCGAAGATGCCTTGTGGCAGTTTAGAGGGGAAATCTCTGATGCTTCGTAACCTAGGAATAAAAAGGGTGACCCTCTTGGTTTAAAGCAGCTTCTAAGAGAACGTAGACCCCAAAGAAAGGTGACGAGGGCCTACTCTGGGTCCTAGTTAGGAATGCATCTAAACCCTAAACCCCAAACCCCGAACCCTAAACCCTTAACCTAAACCCTGACGAAGCACTCTTGAACATTGCCTGCTCTTGGGCAAGGCCTCTTGCTTCCATCAGATATCAGGGGGCCTCATTCGTTTAGGGTTTAGGGTTTAGGGCTTAGGGTTTAGGGTTATTTCATGCAACAAAGCATGACACTGGCGCGGATTGAGGTAGGTCCACCTTCGCAGGAGCCTGAGGTACTTAAGTCCGGGTCCAGAAACAGATGCAAGAGCCAAACCCCAAACCCCAAACCCTAAACCCTAAACCCCTTTCTTCAGGTTGCTTGCGCCGTGTCAGCGTTCCAAAGATGCCGGGATCAAGCGAACAGAAGAAGCAAGAGAGCTTGGTCAGCCGAGATTCCATACTTGTGGTAGTGCTTCTTGACATACCTTTGTTCCGTGAAGGAGATCAGAGATCCAGGAAGCCCTAAACCCTAGGCCCTAAACCCTAAACCCTAAACCCTAAACCCTAAACCCTGAAAGGCCTTTCTTCTACAGAATATGTAGAAACTGCCCCTCGCCATGCTACTCAAGCCTATGATGCTTGGGTCCATGCGCAACATGGTCAAGGTAGCTTCCTTTGCTCCCAAAATTAAGGCATCCATGTCACGTGGGAGCATCAGCACTTGATACTTCTTTTTTGGTTTGAGTGTCGAAACCGGTACAACCCAACACTTGTGGGACAAATGTGATAGACGTGCTGTGCAGCAAAGGCTCTGTGAAAATGCTGCCCAATCGGCTACGAGAACTTGATCCTCCTCCTGGGCTTCGACTTGGGACGAAGTGTGGTTTCTGAAAATCACAGCTGAAAACTTGAGCAGCTTCACCTTGAGCTGAACCAAGTCTGGGACCGCAAAGCTTCGGTTCAACTGGTTTCGAGGTACCGACCTGTAGAACTCTCTACATTGCCAAGAGTCAGATCGACGTCGCATTTGGTCGGTTTGCCTTGGAGCTGCCGTGAAACACAGAAGCTTCGGCAATACCACGCAATGCCAATAGCACCTTTGTGATGAGAAGCTGATGGTGACTATACAGCTGAGCAATCAGGAAAGTCAGCCTCCCCCAACTGAAAGAGCTGTAGGAGCTGTAGTGATTAAACACCAGCTGCCAGAACCCATGGCGTATCTCGCGACAACCTGATCAGCCCGACGACAGGTTAGTATCGTTAACACATACATTTCTGTATGTCCCAAGATCTGTATGAGGGGTGAATATCCTTTTGAACTGTACATGTGGGATAGGGACGAAAGAACCAACGCCTCTCAGATGACCAGACGGGGGGGGGGGGGGGGCGCTCTTTATGTGCTTCAGGGGCTTGGTTGTAGGGTTTCCCAGGCTTCTTAGTTGAGCTTTTTGAGGTTTTTAAGGGACATTTTTGGGCTTTGTGGGCGTTGGCACTCAAAAGCCCCTATACCCCAAACCCCAAACCCTAAACCCTTGCCCTTGAGGCCCCCAACAAAGCAGACATCTTAGACCCGTTGGCCGGTGGAGAAAAATCACATCAACCCCAAGTCCTCACCAAGCCTGGGATTTAGGGCTCTCCGGCATTTAGGGCTCAGGGACCCTAAGCTCAAAACCCTAAACCCTAAACCCTTTATAAACCCTAAACCCTAAACCAAACACCCTAAAAACTTAAATCTAAACCCTAAACCCTAACCTTAACCACCATGAACCTTCAAGCAGGCGACCAGGCCAATCGTTTCAGCTCTTCTGGCGCCTCCGGTGCTTCCGTCGGATGACCTCTCCGGGAAGGCCCTAGAAAGGTCAGAACGTATGCAGGGCTGGGAAGGTTTTTGGGATATTACTTAATTCAATGGGGCACAGTGAGACTCTTTTGGCATCTGGCCTTGGGATTTAGGATGGTTGAAGAAGCCTCGAAATCCTCAAAAAATGGGGCTCAAAATCCTGAAAGAGTGCGGGTACACTCGTTTCGCAAGGATCTAACAAGGCGCAGTTCGTAGTTCGTGGTGGTCGGGGTAAATCATTCCTCAATGTTCCTGACGGCTTCCCAGGATAATGATGCCAGGGCTCCCGGTTCCCCATGAAGGCTCGGCATCTCCCTGAACCCTAAACCCTAAACCCTAAACCCCAATCGTCATCCAATGTACCCTTGCACCCTCGCGTCCCGCGCGCCTGGCATCTTTGCAGGCCATCGGTTGGGAAAGTCCTCACCAGGGGAACCCAGCTATACTCCCCTGTTTAGGGTTTAGGGTTCAGGGTATAGGGTTTATAAGCTATACTCCCCTTAGAACCTTTAAAAAAAACATATGTTGAATATCCTCTTGGGTTTTATATAAACAAAAACATTAAAAATAATTCCCAAGCGGGATATCGCCAGAGGCGCCGCGTGCAAGCAGACGCGGCGACAAGCAAAATCGGAGTCCCCATGACCCCGAAACTCTTTCGCAAGTTACATTTCCACAAGTTGCTCCTAAACCCTCGTTTCCACCGCGACAATTAGCATCAACCTGGGGGAGATGCATCCCTAAACCCTAAACCCTAAACCCTAAACCCGAAACCCTAAAATCTAAACCCCATGACCTTGTCGGAAACCACATCGAGGTACCAGTTGTCTGCGTCGTCGAACTCGACGAGGTATTGCAAAGCACTCCCCAGTGCGTCGAGAGAGAACCTGCGGCACCGAAGCAATGTGCGGTCAACTAAGAAAAGGGGCCTGAATGATCAGAATAGGGTTTAGGGTTTAGGGTTAGGGTTTGGGGTTTGGGTTTAGGGTTTAGGGATCATTAAAGGGACCATAAGGGAATACTCTTCGTAAGTTTTCCGGCCCTTTAGGCGCAGCTCCAGCTGGCATTGGTTAAAGTTGTTAAGAGGCCGGGTTTCTCTGCACGGCTGGGCACATCTGTGCCCGAGCACCTGTGAGTTAAGAACCTCACCCCCCCCCCCCTCCCCCCAAAAACAAAAACCCCGTGCTGGCAAGACGGAGGCTTCGAAAAAGGCAGAAATCAAGCACGGTGAGCCCTCAAATTCTTAGTTTCGTGGGCTCTCAGAGCTGCAGCTTCAGAAAACCATGATAGCATGTTCCCTCGTAACTTTCAAGTGGTAGAAATGACGTTTCTCAGATCCGCCTTTCAACCATCCCCGAACCAACGTACCTCTATACCTTGCAACAGTCCTCAAAAACATGTGATAAACAGGGCAAGCCTACAGTACATATGTTAAGCAAGCTTTGCGAGTACGCAAGTAGGGAAACTCCCAAAACCAAATAACGAATGTATATATAATGTATGTTCCAACTGATATCTAACGAGGGATGATAGACAACAAACTTCCTAGGGCCTTTAGCTGTACATCTACACAGGAGGATAGACCTCGGATAGGTGTTCCAGGGCATGAGATCTTCAGTGCAACCCTTCACTTCCCTTCATAGGCCTCTTGCATAGCCAAGTCCGACGAGTCCCACTATCTACGCGGCACAGTGCAACAGTGCAAAATCGTGCGGAAAGGCTCTGAAAGCCCACGAAGCTCTAATCTGTACTCTTCATGAAGCAGAACACCCAAAAAGGTGACGAGTGGGTGTCCTAGAAGGAACACCGGGTGGCCACATGAAGGTCTTGGGCAAACTAGTTCTGTACCTTGTGGATGTGCAGCAAATACAGCCCCCTCCTTTTTTGAAGCCCAGTCTCTGTTCCCTGTGAAGCCCCAAGCCTTCAACCCCAAAACACGTCTAAGCAGCAAGGGCGCACGTCACCAGAGCGTAGCTGGTAGGCCACGCCTGGCTCCTGCGAAGTCACGGACGATCTGAGATATAAGCAACTAAGGTTTAGGGTTCAGGCAGGACAACCGCTTCCAGGACTGCACAGCAAACCGTGGGTAAGGGTTGAGTTGTAAGTAGGCTTTCGGGTTCATCGAGATTTAGGTATACGTACCCCCCTCATATGCCTAAAGCTATCCTGCCAGCCTCTAAGCAGAGTCAGGACCAGAGTCCCAAAGCCAAAAAAAGCCTCCTTGAACCATCCTGAACACTCCTAAGCGCTTCCTGAATAAGGGTTTAGGGTTTAGGGTTTGGGCTTGAACCCTACAATCTTAAACCCCCAACAGTGCTTCTGAGCTCCAGCTGTACGTCGCCCAGACGCATCGGCCGCTGCGTTGAGACGCCCTCGACGAACCAGTGGCGGCCCTCCTGCCGCATCAGGAGACAACCCTACTTTGGAGTAGACCCTGGAAGCAACGTATATACTTGTTGGGTAATTATAAGTAGCTAGAATAGGAAACCAGAACGAACAAAAACATTAAAGTACAGTACTCCAAAGCCCAGGATCAGAGAGAGTTTCGTGCTTTGGGTTCAGGGCTGAGGGAGTTAGAGATGGGCTGCGGGTTTTCACGGTACGAGTGTGGGAGTTGGACTTGACCTGACGATTGGGATCGGGATCCGTCTGCTGCTGCCTAGCACATCAGCTTCAAGACCCTACAAGAGCGTCCTTGAACACGACGCAGTGACGAGATGCCACTCGCTCGTCCTCGACCTCGCAGGCGCAAGTGCCATTTGGCCTAGAAGGCTGGGAAAAACCCGAAACCCCAAACCCTAAACCCTAAACTGCAAGCTGTGGGGCACAGAAGCCTGTGCCTCCACAAACTCAGCACGCCATAGGCCTTGACATGCGCGTCGTCGTGCGAGCCAATGGAGATGCGCGGAGGGGGACCGTTGCGAGTCTTCTCGTGGCCCTCCTGAAGCCTGAGGCGAGGCTGTGTCTGCATGCTTAGGATTTAAGTGTGGGTTTAGGGTTTAGGGTTTAGGGTTTAGGGTTTAGGGTTTAGGGTTTAGGGTTTAGGGTTTAGGGTAGGGTCATCATGAAACTCGGCTCCAAATTGCTTCCATGAACAGAAGCTGCAACAGAAGAAGCCCAGCGATCGGCGGTTGCTTGCAGCTTTGCTTTCAAGGCAGCCGGGCGCTGCTGTACCATCCCGCACCTATCTTTCCCAACCATACATACCCATAACACCAGAGCCGCAGAGATGCTGACTCTGATGGAAGCAGAAAGGAGCGTCAAGCACACGTGTGTGAAATATTCACGCTACCTCCAGGCCCTATGTGCGTGTTACTGTTCCCCCACCCTCCCCCTCCCAAGCAAGCCAGGGAGCCAATACTCTGGCAATCCCCGGGTAGTTGGCCGAATCCATGAGCCCTGACAGCTTTGGGCCGGATGGGGGGGTTGAGGGTTTAGGGTTAGGGTTTAGGGTTTAGGGTTTAGGGTTTAAGCGCTCACACTCGGACAAGCCAGGCGAGGCACACAGGTTCCACAGTCTCAACATCGGCTCTGCAGCACATGTGGCCACAGTCATGCTAGTGATACTACTCAACACTCACTGTTGCTAACTGGTGAAAGGCTCATTGGCTAGTGAAACCTGCCCCGGACATTTCAGTACTTCTCCACAGCACCATATCTCGCCATCTTCTCAGCTATTGGGCGATCAAGCTGCACGGGGCAGGAGAGAAATGGTTGACCCCAGAATAGGGTTTAGGGTTTAGGGTTTAGGGTTTAGGGTTTAGGGTTAAGGGTTTAGGGTTTAGGGTTTAGGGTTTAGGGTTTAGGGTTTGGGTGATGGGGGTCTCTGCAGCACTTGTGTGATGGAATTCGGACTGAACAACTGCAGAAACACCATCACACAGCTCGAATTTTTTTGGGCTGCTTTGTTCTTGCTTGCGGCCCATCGTTACAGCCTCTATGTTTTTCGGGCTTCAGGTAATGATTCTGGGTAGTAAGGGTGAAGGTCGTTAAGGGCAGTTAAGGGTGGTTGAGGGTGGTTTGGGGCTTAGGGTTGACTGCTGGTAGAGTGGCTGGGTGGACTGATGGGACTGGACTGAGGAGGAAATTGTAGACCTGCCATGGAGGCACGAAGAAAACCAGGCAAAACCACGTGCCATGGATGAGGAGTCATGAGCACAGTCATGATCAGTGAAGACCAAAAACATGGTCGAATGAAACCCCGAAACCCACCAACCCCAAGCTAAAGTCCCAGTCACAACAGACATTCACACACACAAGTACATATGAAAATGTCATCCCCTATGCCCGCTACAAGCTCAGAAAAGTCCTCAGTCCTTTTTGCAACCCCCCCCCCCCCCCACCCCCCCCTCGCCTAAATTCCTTCAATCCTCGAAACCCTAAACGGCCCCCTCAAGCCCCTTTTAGAACCCCAAACTCCCCAAAACCTTTTTTGTCACGAGCCTTCCGCGACTTCATCTGAACCCCAAAGCCTAAACCCCACGCCCTACACCAACCCAAAGCCTCAACCTCAAACACCCAAATCCTCAACCCTTTTTTTCCCTACTTTGGAGTAAATCCCGGAGAAAAAAGTATGTACTTTTTAGGTACAAGTAGCTAGAATAGGAATCCAAAACGAAACACTATTAAAGTATAGTACTCCAAAGCCCAGTTTTGCATCCGCCGTCAGCCCCAAGTCCTAATCCCTGTTGACCCCGAATTCGTTTAGGGTTTACAGTTTAGGGTTTAGGGTTTAGGGTTTAGGGTTTACAGTTTAGGGTGTTTAAATTTGAGCCCTAAAATCTTGGTTGCTCTTTAACCCCCCAATAAAGTTTAACCGCTTAGCTCCCTTAATATGAAATTAGAGGAACCCTAAACTTATAAAGTGATAAAGCTGTAGTAAAGTCCCACCTAGAACCGCCCAAACCATAATCCCGAGAAAACTGAACCCTAATCTCGAAGTGGTCATTTCTCAACATGAACCATTGATAGCATCCCCAAAAAGGGTGCCTTATTTAGAGCATCCCCCATATGGGCGTTTACGAAAACAGGGGACCCCAAAATCAAATAGACCCCCCAATGGTAGATTTCCCTCACAATAGTAACCCCAAACAGTACCCCCGAATTCGGGAACCCCCATATCGCCCTAAACCCTAAACCCTAAACTCTAAACCGAAGGATTCGAGAATCCCCCATATCACGCCTCCGAGGGAGGGAAGCCTGGATTCTCGTGCCAGTCCCCGGAGCTCTCGGCGGTCGCCGCGATATCCGGCGGCCGAAGGCGCATGGCTTTGGAGTCTCAAGTGGGAGAAAAAAGGCTTATTAGGGGTTTTCAGGGTTTAGGGTTTACGGTAGGGGTTGGAGCAGGGTTTATACCCTAAACCCCCATAATTTCGGCTTTTCGTGCCTGGAGAAAGGTGGGGGCTTGAGCTGCTTGAGCTGCTGATTCATGATTCATCCACATGCAGAACACCCTTCGTCTCAAACTTCATTGCGGGCTCTACCGCGCAAGGGGTCCCGGCTAAGTTGTGTGCATTCGGCAACAAGATGTCCAAAGAACTGCCTTTGACCACCAGGACCAGGGGGGGCTTTCGTGCCCCAACAAGCTGCCTGTTCCAAGTGCCCCGCTATTCAAGAGAGGGCGCTGCCTTCCTTGCAGCTTCTTCTTAAGGGTTTAGGGTTTAGGGTTTAGGGTTCTCAGACCTCGCGCGACAGACTGTGGCTGGCACTGGACGCAGGTCTGAAATCGGTTGTACTGCGTCCTGGGCGAAGTTGCTCTTGCTGAACTCTTTGCCCAAAATCTTAGGGTTCATGGATCTTAGGGTTCATGGGTTTAGGGTTTAGGGCCACGGTTTAGGGTTTAGGGTTTAGGGTTTAGGGTTTAGGGAGTTCTTTTTCAACTTGGACCCCTCTAAGGCTTTAAGCCATATAAACACCCCAAGCTACGACTTGGACTTGCACTGAGCCCTGCTCTTACTCAACGCTAAGAAAGGCTGAAGAACGAACCGGACCCCTTGAAACCCCAAACCCCAAGACCAATAACCTCCTCGCAAACCCGGCACTGCGCTGGCACAACTAAACCCTAAACCCTAAACCCTAAGCCCTAAGCCCTAAGCCCTAGGCCCTAAGCCCTAAGCCCTAAGCCCTAAGCCCTAAACCCTAAACCCTCAACCCTACAACTAAACCCTAAACCCTAAACCCTAAACCCTAAGCCCTAAGCCCTAAGCCCTAAGCCCTAAGCCCTAAGCCCTAAGCCCTAAGCCCTAAGCCCTAAGCCCTAAGCCCTAAGCCCTAAGCCCTAAACCCTAAACCCTACCCCTCCTGGTGTCGTTGGACTTCATCGAAGCGCTCCAGTCCAGGCAGAAGATGACGACCTGCCCAGGGTTTAGAGTTTAGGGTTTAAGGTTTAGGGTTTAAGGTTTAGGGTTTAAGGTTTAGGGTTTGGGGAAGTCCCCTCTCGACACCTGTAGGAATACACAGGGTGCCCTTCTTTTGGTTGTTCGGTTTAGGGTTTAGGGTTTAGGGTGTTTTGCTTTAGGGTTTAGGGTTGAGGGTTTTAGGGTTTTAGGGTTTATATAGGGTTTAGAAGCCTACGTGACATAAAAAAAGGTGGCATTTGTGGCCCACGGACGGGGTCTCCTAAAGTCGTGCGCTGTAAGCAATAGGAACTGACTGGATGCACCCCCGAGGCCTTTCTGGATGAACCTTAAACCTTATACCTTATAAAGGCCGGCGGCCTCTTTACCTGATACCCTTGTGCCTTAAAATAGCCCCTAGATACCCCAATAATAAGAACCCCCTACAGAACAGAGACCCTACATAAAGAGACCACCAACCCATATAACTTTTACCCCCTTTCTCTAGGGTCTAGGGCGTCTAGGGTTTCGGGTCTCAGGAACATTTGTATATATATACATATATATATACATATATATATATATATATATATAAACTAATATCAAAACGATGAAGAGACATTTCCTATTATATCACTGTGTATATATATATACATAATACACAATGTTGTATATGAAAGGATCTAGCTTGGGGGCGATTGAAACTTGAACAAACTTCAAGCGCCCCCTATGCCCTTTCACCAGCTGTACAAAAAAGTAATAACTTGACCATTGTTTTCCAGAGCAGAAGCCTTACCAACAACACCCTGGCCCCGCGCCCTAAATCCGAAACCCTAAAACCTTGAAACCCGGAACCCCTAAACCCTGAACCTCAGCCAAAACCTTGAACCTTAAAAGCCCTCTTAAACAAACCTACATCCTGAAACCCTAAAGCCCTATGAACCCAAACCCTGCAAAATCAAAAAAACCTGCAATTAAACCCCAAAGCCCTAAAGCCCTAAACCCTAAACCCTAAACCCTAAAACCCTAAAACCCTTTTGCAGCTGGGACTCTAAAACCCTAAAACCCTAAACCCTAAACCCTCGGAGGCAGATGGGAGTTGAGTCACCAGCACCAATCAGAAACCCTAAACCCTAAAACCCTCTAGCCCTAGCTCCATACCATGGCGCCTTCGGGCCGCCCCCACCACTGACCTGCCGTCGTGTGCAAGTCCGAGCTGAGGGCGCACATGGGTAGTCTTCGTTTAGGGTTTAGGGTTTAGGGTTCAGGGTTCAGGGTTTAGGGTGAGGGTTCAGGGTTTAGGGTATAAATTACGAGCGCCTCTTTGGGTCCCTTTATGATATAGATAGATAGATAGATAGCACGGCGCCCCTAAAACAAGCACACGAACAGGGACCCTAGTTGGTTCGGGCTTTTCGGGTTCCGGGCTTTACGGCCTGGGGTTTGTAGGGCTTTTGGGCTTAAGGGTTTTGGGGATTTGAGGGCTTTAGGGTGTAATGGTTTTTGGGCTGAAAGGTTTTCAGGTCTTAAACCTGGGGTTTAGCTTAGTTGTCCAGTACCTAGGGGAACTGAAGGTTAACCTTTAGGATTATAAGGGAATTATAAGAGGGATTCTAAGGGGATTACATTACCCCAAAAAGGTTAAAGGTTACCTACTCTACTACTAAGTTAGGGTTCTAGGGTTGGGGGAAATCTCCGACCCCTGTTGCTTTGAAGATGCAAGGGTGGCGATGGCGATTGAGATTCGATGGAGAGGCACAAGTGAGCGACCAATCGTTGCAAAAGAGCTCCTGTCCGACCAGACCTTAAGACCGCGAATCAAAAGCCTGTAATACCTGAACCCTAAGCCCTTGTCCCTAAACCCATATACCCGAAACCCACTCCTAAAACCTAAAATGCTACGACGATCCGGGGTCTCGATCGTGGTTTGATGCTTTTTCGGCCCCGAACTCGAACAAAAAACTTCTTGGTTCTCGATGTTAGGGTTCAGGATCAAGGTTCAGGGTTCTTTTTCCTACTCCAACTCCTAAACCCTAAACCCTAAACCCTAAACCCTGAAGGTGCAAGAAAAGGCCAAGGAGCCACGTTCACCGCACCCGCACCCTGCCTGAGAGGGGGGTGGCAGTCTCCAGGTCTTTGTCTCTGAGGGCTTCTTTGTTCGCACCAGCTAAGCTAAAAGGGTTTAGGAGTTTGGAGCTTAGAGTTTAATTAGGGTTTAAGGATGGGGTGAGGGTTAAGGGTGTGCTGCTGGGAACTGGGGGTTTAGGGTTGAGGAGCCCTTTGGATTGCTTTTTGGCTTGCGAGGGCAAGGGTGTGAAGGCACTGTCGGGCGATGCAGATATCAGCCCTACACCAGAGAGGCTCAGAGAGGATTCCGTCATGCTTCCTAACAGTCTCTTAGGGCGACTGGGCTCCGTGGATGCGATCTTGGGGGCCCAGTTTGGAATCCAGTGGGTCGGCCAAGGCCGACCTAAACCCTAAACCCTAAACCCTAAACCCGAGTGTAGTGGTTAAAGGTGTAAGCGGCTCCAGGGTCTGAGGTTGACGGAGTTGTGAGGGCTCACGGGCCCCAAAGCGTGTGTCCAAGACTCAAACCTACATAGTCAAAACCTGAGACACACATCCTCAATCAACCAGTATATAAATATAAATATATATATATATACAGATATAGATATACATATATATATATGTGTGTGTGTATATATATACATACATACATATACATATATATATATATATATAGACCGCGCATGTATGCCTGCATGCATGTATGTATGTATTTATGTGCATATACATATACATATACATATGCATATATACAAATACATATCTATATATATATATAAATATTTATTTATATGCATTTGCTAAGAAATAGATAGATACACCATTCGTATTTGTTGGAATATGAATAACAACAAAGAACAAACACCAAAACAACCTATTTTCGTATTATATATATATACATATCTATATATATATATATATATATATCATGTATATGTATATATATATATAATATTCTCATGTTGTATGAAATTATATGAGAGTCCCCTTCCAAAAGGCCCGCGCGTTGGCACCGGCAGCAGCATCGAGCCGCCAGACGGGGGCTGGGCAAGGAGGGGTCGGAGCACCCGAACGGCGTTTGAGTTTGAGCAGGGTGCAGTTCCCTAAAACCCTAAACCCTAAAACCCTGAAACCCTAAACCCTAAAACATAAAACCCTAAAACCCTAAACAGGGTATAGACCACAACAACCATGCAGGAAGAGCAGGGAGTCCCAAACACCACACCATGGTAGGACCTGCAACCCTTTGGCACTCATTTATATCGTTCTCACCCCGATGCCGACTTCCTGCACCTAGGTGCCACATGTCCTCCCGTGCGCGTGCTGAAGATTTGCCTGTCGTTAATCTTAGTTCCATCTGACTATTCTCATATCAGCATCACAAATTCTTACTGTCCTCATTCTCCGAATTTAATCCTAATACTGCCGTTTTGCCCCGAAAGAAGCCCCAAAAGAAAACCTGTTGAGGCCGAGTTCCTCACCGCCTCGGGCCGCCCCAAGTCTCGGGCTTCAGTCGGCACCTGGAGGTCAGGGGTTTGTATGGGGCTCAGAATGCATATGTCTTAGTCGTATTCTTATTTCGGATGCATACATACATATAGATATATATATATATGCATATGTGTATGTATATATATATATATATATGTGGGGGGGGGGGGGGGAGGTTCCGAAAGTAGGGGTACCCTTCTTGGGGTCCTTTTTATCAAGGGAACCTATATGCTAGTGGGGTCTAGATTAGGGGCTCCTTATTTTTGAGCAAAACCCCCCAAAGATGCAGAATTTCGCGTATGTCTTCTTTAGTAGGGTGTATATATATATATATATATGTTTATATATTTATATAGATTTATTTATGGGAGGAGGTTTTGAAGGGTTTGGGCTTAAAACGGGTGCAGACTCTCAGGGTCTAGGAGGTGAGTTATGGTTGGGCTTACGGAGGTAACCCTGAACCCTAAACCCTAAACCCTAGGGTTTTTGGCGGGGGCTTATCGAGTTCAAGAGGCTAAAGGCGGGACCCTTCACAGGGACCTTAAGGGGAATGCTGGGGCTAATTAGGGGCTACTTGGGTATATGAGGACTATATACGGTATGTATAAGGGTTATATCAGGGAATAAGGGGTCCCTCCTTGTACCCCTTAAAGAGTCGAGTATGGGGTCAGAGTTTTCGCCCGCAAGGCTTGCATCGAGAATCGCAGAGCATCCAGTAGAAAATCGTTCCTAACTGAGCTGCCAGTGCCATCGCAGGATTGCAACCCGCATGCACAAAGCCGACACATCTAAATAACTGAAGCTGAACGACTGGGCTTGCGACCATCCCAAAGCAACGAACTCAGCCTTGAGCCCCCCTACTAGAGGCCAACAAGTCAAGACCTCACAGAAAAACCCACACTACCCTAAACTCCCCTGAGCTCTTCCACTCTCTAGACCCTATAGGCCCACACACACGCTCGATGCCTCCCTCGGCACCACGGAGGGAAGCCGTGCAAAGGCCTCGCAGGAGGCCCTCTTGCTCTAAAAACCCTCTGACAAATATTCCTAAATAAAAAAATAAATACATAAAAAAAAATATATATATATATATGATCCTCTTCAACCCAAAAAGGTTTAAATCTTAAATGTAAATATATATATATATATATGTATGTATATGATCATCTTAAACCCAATGAGGCTTAAAGTTTTCAAGTCTCCCAAGGGCCTACCTAGTTTTGCTGGCCACCCAAAGCTCTCAAAGCAGCCTGTGCAGGCAAGCCGCAACGTCGGAAGACGTGAGCTAAACTTTCTTTTTATGGCTTATACAGGGATTGTGGTAAATAAAATGTTCAAACCTGTCAAGACGTGATGATGTAAAGGCTGACGAGGTGTCCCCCGTCACCTTCCCTTCCCAGAGTTGGCGCCAAAGACATGTTTGCCTGCCTTCATGGCCCTTCTTCTTAATCTCTTCCTAGTGTGACGAGTCATCTTATAAGTTTTACGATGGTTAGTACTCGTATTCGTATGCTGAAGCTGCTCAGGTCTCTTAAGCAACGGCACCGGGTGCCCCACCTCATCAATCTCGCGCACGCTCAGCCTTGGCTGGAAGAGGTCAAGCCGAGTCAGGCCGCGAAACCGCAAAGAAGCCCAACAGAGCGCTTTACTTGGAGGTTCATGGTACATATAACTTTTAACCCAAAAATGACTGTACTTACAACCCACGTAAAAAGACCCCCTTAGTCGGCTAAAGTACAGTTATTCATTGGGTTAGAAGTACCATGAACCTCCAAGTATTCCCTATATACTTGGTAGCCCAGTAACCATCTAGAGGGAGCCTTGAGCCGAAAAATACAAGGGTAATGGGTAGCACTGCGCTACCAAGTATACCATGTGCAACCGAGTCACCACCGCAATCTCTGACCTTGGCAGACGGATGCTTCTGAATCTGTGAGGTTGCTGGCTGGCGATTGTTCTACGCGTAAAATGTAGATGATTACCCCTACGGGGCCTCAAGCAACTACTCACACATGCTCATACCATCCAAGTCCATCAACTCAGAACAGTTGTGCCTCTGAATCTCTCTACACCCACGTGGAACAGAACTTCGTCCTCAATCTCAAGCATGCAGCGCTAGGTGGGGCTGATCTAAAACATGGTCCCTTTGCTTGGTCTCTCTCTTTTCCAGGAGTTTCCTGAGAGTTCATAGGGCACCAAACAGAGCCCCTCACAATGCAGATCAACATAGAACCCTAGAATCCGAGGGCTCTGCACACATCCACCAGTCTCTCGCGAGCCTGGGGGTCCCTGGCGTTGACGCAGGCTTGGCGACATGTTTCAGGCTTCGTGCCGGTCAGGGTCAGGGCATTGGGGTATGGAGGGAATTCGGGGGTTCGGGGTATTCCGTAGGACCGTGAATAAGCTTGAGAGGCTTTCGGGCAACTCCATGGGAATCTTGCGCACGTTCCATCGCTTGGCTTGGAACTTGGGGCTTTTGGCTCATATGGGTTTCAGAGGACACGAAATATTGGGCTGTGGGTTCACGTTAGGGTATCACAACAGCATGGGCCAGGGATTCCAACTTCGGCACGATATGGATCAGAGGTAGGCAGTGCCAAGAGCCAGCTCTTTTTACTAGCTGCGTATGGCCTTGCAACCTCAAGCCCTTTTCTAGACCCAAGAATAACCTAGGAATGAAAAAGCTGCCCGGTTTGGTTTACAGGGGCTTATCAGGGAACCTAAAACCCTGAACCAAGGGAACAACGGCCGACTCAGGTCCGAGTGTTTGTTGAAAAGTCATGGCCGCGACCTGACCTGTGCCACCCTTTGCTTAAGACCCCCCCCGAAAAAGGAAAAAAAAACAATCCCTATGTTACCCATATAAGGAAGAATATTCTTGTGTTTTTTGTGGGGGGTCGTAAGCCAATAACCCTAACCCCTAAACCCTAAACCCTAAACCCTAAACCCTAAACCCTAAACCCTAACCCTAAACCCTAAACCCTAAACCCTAAATCCCGAACCTGTAGCCTTGGGCACCGGACTTCAGCAGCTCGCTTCGCTTGCCGAAAACCTCCTCGCAGAGCTCGTTGACGCCTTTGGAGCCGACCAGCTACGGTTCGATCTCATGCTTAGGGTTTAAGGGTTTAGGGTTTAGGGTTTAGTGGTTAAACTAGAACGGCCTAAACGCATCAAGCCAATCGACTACCAAGTTTTGGTTACATAGCATCTTGACTTGAAAAGTCAATGGGAAGAAAAAGCAGAGTGCTTTTGCCGAAGAATAGATGCCAGCAACTTGCCGGAGGCCAGAAAGCCTATGCTGTTTGGGAAGCCAGACAGCTGTGGACCCCACGTACGCCGCAGTTGTATAACGCAGCGGAACCTGGCAGGTAGGAAAAGGTGGATCTTGCGATCCGGGTTCCATTGAGGCATTAAGGGGCGCTGTAGGGCTCCCCTCGTTCCCTAGGAAGGAGACCGGAAGTCTTGGTTTCTACGTGCTACGTGCAGGAGTCTTTAGTGCTGGCTGGTAGGGGGGCTCACCTCACTCCGCTTAGGGAGTTCATGAAGCAGGGTTGGGCAGTTGATGTAGGGGTTGAGTCTAAAAAAGGGGGGTTGAGGAGACTTGGGGGGGTAGGGGGGCTTGGCACTTTTAGAAGATTTTTATCACATGGTTACCATGGTAACCTCCAGAGAAATATGAACCCTGGTGGGATTTCTGTTGCTTGTTGAACTGACCTTGAAAACTTTTTTTTTTTTGGGGGGGCGTGGAATCGGAGCCACGGAATTGAATCAGTTGTTTGGGGTCCATGATTCCCGGGATTAGGGTTTAGGCTAAACCCTAAACCCCAAGCCCCATTGCTTTCCATGGAAGCCGGCCGCCTTTGATCCGTTCTGCCGTCTCCCGGTCGCCCCAGCTCAAGACCATCTGGCAATGGGCTTCGATTGGGATATTCCCCCTTATGCTAAACAATCCTTAATAGGGAGTATAGTACCCCCATTATAATTCCATTCGGGACTCTTAGCATAAGGGGGGGACATCCCAAGGCTTAGAGTTCAGCGCATGGCTCCGTTCTAGTTTCGGGAATCTAGGTGCGGAGACAGCAAGCCGAGCAGGGTAGACAGAGCATAAGGACATGGTATGCTGCTGCTGAGTCCTGTTGAAACCTGCACACTCTTCCGCAGCGCTCTCTAGACTAGATAAGTCGAACAATTTGCTGCCAGTCGTCCAGCTGCCTGGCCCACACCACGGAGAGGTTTGGCTAGTTTGGGGGCTCAAGGCCTCGGTGACGTGATGAAGCCATTTGTTCCAGCCCTCCAACTCCTACATGCCCGAACCCCCCCCTCATTTCGCTCCCATGTGTAGGTATCTAGACTTGTGTAGACTTGAGGGTTTGGACATTCAGACCTCCACCCCAACACCCCAAAAGGCTTCGACCTGTCCACTGAAGGGCTGCGGCCTTCACAGGGTCCAGGCCGCAGCCCCCGATGGGCATCGTCTCCTGGCTCTACTCGCCAGAAGAATTGGCTTAGGCTTTATCGGGCTCTCATATCCAATATGTTCTACGCAATATCTAGACATTGATGTATATATATATATATACACATATATATATATATAGATTGTATTTAGGTAAGGTTTAGGGTAGTGATTAGGGTGCCTTCAAGGTGCCCACGTGGCTAAGGTATCGCATCGGTTTTGGCGAGGGAGGTCTTGTTAGGCTACATCTGTGCTTTCGGGAATCGGGAGGTCTTATGGTATGGTACAAACCCTAAACCCTAAACCCTAAACCCTAAACCTCCTGGGGTCTAAACCCCAAAAGGGCCCTAGCGCAAGAACCTTCAACTTCGCCAAGATCCTTGAACCCTAGCCATCCCAACCCCCCCACAAGGAGGGGCCCCCTTAGTATACCAACTGTAGTTAATGGACTTATAACCTAATTTAGGACCCTTATAACCCAATTTAGGGCTCTTATAAGTCTACTTATAACTAGGGGGGGGCCCTCCTTGCAAGGCGTGTTCAGGTTTTTCTACACCCTCAACTTATACGAACAGCCCTTGGTAGGGACTGTAGTAGCCCCATATGAAAATCCCTATTGAGGACTTCATTAAGGACTTTTAGCAAAAGACGTAACATCCCAACCCTCAACTCGAAACCCTGGGGAGCACCCTTTGCCGCACCCCAATGCAACAAGTCGGCGCCGCCCTGAACTTCGACGTGTGGGCTACCTTGGCTCGTTGGTCAATCTTCTCTTAATCTTTAGGGTTTAGGGTTTAGGGTTTAGGGCTTAGGGCTTAGGGTTTAGGGTTTAGGGTTTAGGGTTTGGGGTTTAGGGTTCAGCGTTTAGGGCGGGTTTAGGGTCAATCAGCATGGGCGATTATACCCTATAACCTCTAGGGTAGTTACATGGTTCCTTAGTATGGGCTCTTAAACGGGCGGTAAAGGACTACATGAAGGCCCATGAAACTACCCGCAGAATCTAGACTCAAGAGTAACCCAGGAATTAAACCAAAAAAAGAACGGGTGCCCTTTCTGGTTTAGAGGGGCATACAAGAGAACCTGAACCCTACCAAAAAGGCCACAAGGGGCCTACTTCGGGTCCGAGTAATCTTCCGGTTGCTTCATGCTAAGGTTTCAGGGCGTGTCTCTTCTTGTCAGCACATCCTGCGCAGTTGTGCAATTCATCCCCGTCCGTCATCTCTCAACACTCCAATCCACAAGATCTACGATCTAGTCACACGAAGTGTGCATCCCAAACCCGAGAATCCTATAATCCTATCCTACAAGCCGTTTTCCAGTAGGCTAGGTCTCGCGGAAATACCTGATAAACCAAAACCCCAAGCCCCATAAACCCCAAACCCTTATAAGCCCTGAACCCTGTGAGAACCCTAAACCCCTCTAAGCCCTAATTCCTTACATAAGCCCGTTTTGCCCCAGCTCTCTTTGACCTATAGAAGCCCTAAACCCTTTTACGGCTAGGACTGCTGCGCTGCCAGGAAGAGCGGGCAGCGTGGACTCTGCCGCCCTGAACCCTAAACGTTTTTTTGCAGTAGGCTTCTGAAGATGCTCGCCTAGCCCTAAACCCTAAACCCTAAACCCTAAACCCTAAACCCTAAACCCTAAACCCTAAACCCTAAACCCTAAACCCTAATTCTTCTAAGGTGCCCCTTAAATGAATGCCCCCCCCCCCCCCCCCGATGGCGACTCAGCGCCGCGCGTAGTCTTTGGCGCAGAGCACTGCGCAGTATTGCCCCCGCCTGTCCTGTCGGGCCTGGGAGCTTGCAAAGGCTTGCACCCTAAACCCTAAACCCTAAACCCTAAACCCTAAACCCTAAACCCCTGGGTGAAAAAAAGAGTTTGTAGGGTTTGGGGGCTTATAGAGCTCATGGGCAGCCCCCAAAACCTCCAGAAACTCGAGTTGCAACCCCATGTAATTAGATGGAGAGCAGTGCGCCACGCAGAGCAGAGTCTGGCGCGGCGTTGCACGGTTTTGGGGTTGGTTTGTTCTTTAACTCTATTGGGTTTACAGCTTTTGCTCAGGCTGGAGATCGTTTGTGTGTCGTCGCGTAAATCCTTGTATAGACTGTTAGCCAGTGTACTACAACGAGAAAAATCAGCGCCATCGACGCACCGCTCAAGGCGTAGCGGTCTTTAGATGTATAGGGTGCACCCTCCCTCACGAACGTAGCTAATCGTAGCTAGTTGCGGACCCATTGCAAGGGCCAGGGTACGATGCAGTTCACGGTGCAGATACTGCTTAGGAAGTAGCCTGAAGAAGAGGCCTTGGGCATAGATGCTCCGTACAAGGCTGATGTCTTATATACCAGAAGGATCCTTGGACCAATGCTGCAAGCGTGGCCAAAGGCATGGGCAGAACTCAGCTGTAAACCCTAAACCCCACACCCTAAAACCTAAACCATAAACCCTAACTTCTTGTTTTGCCGATGCACCGGTGGATCTCCCAGAGACGTCGTTAACCCGGGTATACCTTTCACAGTACGGTCCCGGTTGTGAACCTCATCAGTATAAGCTTGGACAGTGTAGACCATACTGCTTGAAGGGGGGTCCCAACAGGAACATACTCTTGATAACTACCCGCACGGAGATCCAGCATTGCAGGGTTTTTCACGAAGCAATAAAGGAAGCAGGGCTCTAGGAGACCAGGATTCAGGGGATTGCAAGGAAGGGAAGGAGGGAATGAGGTACCCCATATCCCCCTACATATACCAAATTAAGGGATTGTACCAATGGTATCTTATTCCCCCATTCCCTACTAACCAACAGTAAGGTTGAAGTCTGGCGAGCAAGCTAGTACAATACTTAGCACCCAACCAATGCCGGACCTCGCGAGTTCCATGCAAGTGCAATATGAGCCTGCAAAACCCTCCAAGCCCCAAACCCCCTTTTGCATAAAGGACTCTCCGCCACCAGCACTACTGCAAAGAAGTAAGCCCCTTCTGTGCAACAAGCCCCTAATACATACAAAATATACTAAAACCCCCAAGGCCCCTAAGGCCCTAAACCGCCAAGAAAACCGAAACCCCTTAAACCCCCTAAACCTCACCTTCCACTCCATCCATGAAGAGGGGGGCTCTGGTTTATGCTGTGGGTTAGTGTTTAGGGTAGGGGTCAGAAGGGATAGCCTGGGCAATTGTTTAGGTGGCGTATTATTTTCTGACAACAAAGAAAGGCCGAAACAGCGGCACGCGCAAGCTCTACTTGGCCATAATGCTGAAGAGGCTCTATGCCCTGGCCACCAATGCACATGCTCCACTCTCGGGTCCAAACAACAGGGACCTCCAGAATTTTACAGAGCTGGCCGCCAGGGTTTTCAGGCCCTCCACGAGGGGAGCCGCTGCGCACAGCAGCGCTTGCCCACCTCAGCCTGCCTTGCACTGGTCGAGCATATGTGTCTGCCATCTTGAGGATGCAGAAACCGTGGCTGAAGCCATGATTTCTCTCAAGGTTTCGAGGGTTGGGGCTTTCAGGGTTTAGGAGTGTGAGGGCTCTTAGGGTACTGAGGGTTTAGGATGTCTTCAAGGGCAAGAATCATGGCAAAGGCTCCCTGGCCAAAAAAGCTTAGCTTTCCCAGTGTGGAAGGATGATATCGAGATATACACCCCTAAAGGTGAGAGGTTACCCACCTAGCTACTAAGCTTCTACTCCCTTCCTCCGTCTCTGTCCAGACGTCTGCCGTCGCACGCTGAGTCTGTGTACAAGGCGACGATGTCCCCAGCATTGCAGCTGCCACAGCGACAAAGATAGGGGACGGCAAGATCTGCGCCTTTTGCATTTCGGGGTGCTTGGGGTCCAGCAGCCTCTGCAGCGTTCGGGGTTTAGGGTCTAGGGTATCGGGATATGGCTTCCTACCAGGCTTTATAATTTGGGCCGACGGTTTATGCCGCAGCATCTCGTCGGAACGGTTCTTCGATCTCTTCGGAGAGCACCTCTTGAGCATTAAGTCAGAGGTACTTGGTGGCAAAGACAAAGTATTCCCTGTTCAGCTCACACATGTGCGCTCCGAAGCCAAAAAACTAAACCTGCTCAGGCACGGTGCGGGCACCGCAGATGTGTAAAAAGTAAGTCAGGAGAAATACTACGCTGAAGTCCTGATGCGTTCACGCGCATGTTTACCTGGGCCGGAACTGAAGCCGGCTGACAACGTCTTTGCTCACGTTGGCCAGCGGCACTGAAGCTCCTTTTGTGGCAAAGAATCCTGAGCCAACGCTGCGAGTAGGGAAGGGAAGTGAGGGCCAAATTAAGGGTGGCGGGTGCTGCACATGTTGTTCTCTTGAAACTGCTGTGGATGCAAAATGCCTTCCCCCTAAACCCTAAACCCTAAACCCTAGACCCTAAACCCTAAACCCTAAACCCCAAACAAGGCCCAGGTGACTCAGCAAGTCCGGGCAGTCCGGGCCGTAGAGCTCCCAAACGGCGCCTAGGAAGCTCTCCGCAGCTTCGAGGGTTCCGACATTCATCCTTTCACCGGCCGTGTCCTTGTTCATGGTTGGGAGAGTACTAAAATTTTAGATTCATATTCCTTATTCTAAAATTTAAGGGTACTTAAGCCCAATAAGGAATATAAGTTGAAACTTAAATTTATATTTATATTCCTTATTGGGCTTAAGTACCCTTAAACATCTAAGATGTTACCCAACTATGGCAAAGTCTCGTACATTCTGCAGTAGAGGGCATAAGCGAAGCGACCGCGCTCTTCCTCGCTCGGAAATATCTGCAGCTTTGCCCGGAAGTTTATGCAGAATTCCTCCCGCTTGGAGTACTCGCGCCGCGAGTTGCAGTCTGCCTGAGTGGCGTAGAAGGCGTTGAGGACCCGGTCAGCTTCGTCCCTGTATTGGTTATTCTGCATAGCCCCAGGGATACACCACGGTGTCGGGATCTTGTATTTGCCCGACCGCCGAAACTGGTCAATCAGAGTCTTGTAGAGCTGGCCTTTGCTATGGGCAAAGAGACGACGAGCTTTGCGAGTTGGAAAGGCATGCCGTGCATTCTGAACTTGTGCCTAAACCCTCAACCCCAAACCCCAAACCCCAAACCCTAAACCCTCCACCCCAACCCTAAACCCATAAACCCTAAGAAAGTTAAGGGAAGCAATGCGGTGGTGGTTTGCCAGTTTTGGGACGAACTGCAGCTCGAGGCACCGTTGCAGCGACGCCAAAACCTCTCTCGAAGCGAAGCCGAAGATCCCTTCACGCAGAGCCTCAAGGGGTTTAGGGTTTAGGGTTTAGGGTTTAGGGTTTAGGGTTTATTTCAGGCGAATCGGGGGGCGAGATACGGCATAGGATCGGACTTTTTCAGTGCGGGTTTTCACTTTGCAAAGGGCGAAGATAATCCCGCTGGACTTTGCCTAAATCCTATAAACCCTAAACCCTAAACCCTAAACCCCAAACCCTAAACCCTAAACCCTTCAAAGGCCTCTCTTAGTCCAAGAACTTGCAGCTTCGGGGTGGCTCCCAGAAAGCCCCTTGACACGAGCAAGCACCAAGAAAGCATTAGTACTCCTACTAATTGCTTAAGAACCCCACCATAATACACAATATTCTTCCTTTTGAGGGCTATATAGTTTTTTTTTGAATTCTTTTGGCTTCTTAAGCAAATAGTAGAATCTAGGGGGCCTCAATACTTGTTCCCCCTTATACTAACTGTCCTGAATAGGGATTTTAGTAGCCCCTACTATTTCCCCTACTCAGGACTGTTAGTATGAGGACTGTTAGTATAAGGGGGAACCTCCCAGGTTATTATAGTACAAACCATAAGGGACTATTCGTGATTATTCCGACCCCTATAGTAATCTTCGCACCAACCTCACCTGTCCTGCATCATCGCCTTGCAACCACCGCCCCTGCCTCGTGGCCAATTGCCCCAGTGCCGTGTCGGATAGCTCCTGCCAGAAAGAACTCGGAAAAAACCCAAGGTCCTAACCTGAGCCCTCAACCCTAAACCCTAAAGACTCAGGTGGTCTTAGCCTTACAGCGACAAAGCTGGGGAACGTAACCGCACGGCCCAAAGGATGCCAAATTTCCCGAAACCCTGAAGGTCCTAACCTGAGCCCTAAACCCTAAACCCTAAACCCTAAACCCTAAACCACTAACCTGTTGTTTTGAAGATCCCGGTCTCCGGGTACTGGCCATGGTCTGGCTTCGAAGCTTTCGAATGCCAGGATGGCACCTGGGTTTAAGGATTAGGGTTTGGGGTTTAGAGATTAGGGTGTAGGGCTTGGTGCAAACCTCGGTGGCGAAATCTTCCATAAGGCAGGCACATGCTGTCCGATTTTCAGGCAGCAGAAGAGCCCTCTAAAGCCTATAGGCCTGAAACAGGGGATAGCAGCCCTAAACCCACCCTCAACCCTTAACCCAAAACCCTAAACTCTAAGCAGGCTTATACTTCGAAGGCCAGGGCGCTCGGATCAAATCTGGAAGCCTCAGTTGCTTGGAGACCATGTCTGCGACAAACTTCCTGGGCTGTGCAGAGTGGCGAAGGAGGCGGCAAGTGAGAATGAAGGGCGGCTCGAAAGTGTCGTAGTTTACAGGCTTCAGGGTATATGGGGTGCCCGGCATTGTGGTGAGGTGCTTTTGCATGCTCTCAGGCGCGGCTGCGTAGCCCATCACCATAACCGCGTGACCCAGCACTCTCAAGTGTTCTTAGCCTCTTCCGAAGCGACACCAGAAGAACACTGAAACCCTGGAAGCCCCAAGCCTATGACCGAATACAGACCCTCTAAGCCGGGCCGGGACATCACCCCGAAACCCCAAGCCCAGCTCGAGAGACTGTTCGCCACTCAGCTTGTTGTCCAGGGCCAGCTGGTAAAGCAGGCCCAGCTTCACGGTTATTTCGTGTTTCCTTAGCGGGCGGCGTTCCGTGTTTGTGGATGTAGAGGGGAGTGGGGTTTGAGCTGCTGGGTGTTTTTGCAACCTGCATAGCTGGCTTCGGTCTTGCTTGAACCGCAAACCCAGTTTAGGCCGGTGCAGGGCTTGCTTAGGCAAATAGCCGCACTGAGGCAATTGAGACTGCGTGCAGACCCCCCAAAACCAAAACATCTTGCACCATTTGTCAGGATTTGATGAGTATCCCCAAGACTCCTACTCAAGTCAACATAACAACCTTCCACAAGTTAACAAAACGCATGGTGGGTTCTCAAAATTATGGTCTCTTTGTTGGGGTACCCTAAATACGAGAGGCCGCCTTAGTATAAGGACCCCCTACTAATTGCTTAAGAACCCGCCAAAAAAAATCCTCCTTATAACGGCAATATATATATATATATATATATACGGATTCCGTGTGTGTTTTTTTGGGGGTTCTTAAGCAAATAGAAGCCCAAAAGGGACCATCATGTCGAGAATTGACCATATGTCGGCTTAACCCAGGCCCGGACAACATCAAGCAGGTGCACCCAGTATGCTCCAGAGCCCCAGCGGCATGAGGTTTAGGGTTTAGGGTTTAGGGCAACCTACCTCCAACGTGGCCCTGGAGAGGTGTCAGTTCCCACCACAGACCCATGAAGGGGTAGGGTTAGAGCTGCCCAGTGCTATTCTTACTCGCTACTTAGATTTGCTCAAAGCAACTGGCTGGCTTGCCACAAGTCATGGTGCGCAGAGGCTTAAAGGTGGGGGGGCACTCAAGGCTCGTTTACTACAGGCGTGGGATTATAGGAGCTTTGAAATTGCAGCGGCTTTGCGTATTGAAACTAATGCCAGGACTCACGCCGTACTCCGACCAGTCGGCAAAGAAGGCCCACAAATTCGCGAAGTGACCAACCAAGAGCAAAGACTCAGCAGCATCGCTAGCAGCCTGCACGTGCGCCGGTGCTTGACACACTGTTGCACTAGGAGTCAGTACCTTCGGCCAGCGAGTACTCAATGTCTTACCTAGATCTGATCCGACTGCAGCTTGCAGAATGGCTTAATGAAAGGGTACGGCGTCACACGGCTTAACGGCACAGCGGGTGCCTTACACAGCAGGCCAAAGGCGTCTCTGGCTGGGTTCTTCGGCGCCATCTCCTTTATCTTCCTCGCCAGCTCTTCCACATCCGCAACGACGGTGCTGTCATAGATAGTTGGCGTGAAGTTCTCGACGACTTCCTGGCATTGCGCAATCCTAAAATGATGTGCACCTTCTGCTTGGTGCCTGACGCATACTGAACAATGAGACAATGCTGGTAAAGATGAATTGCAAGTCATGGGACTGGATCAGCGATCAAGATGACGTCATCGCCGTCGTAGTCGCCTCCTGCTAAATACTCTGCCGGGGCCATTTCGCAGTCCTCGTGCGCCGACATGATCAGAACCTGTTTGCGGCATCAACTTTTGCTAGGTTCTTTCGGACGTTCCTATGACGAAGCCAGTATGGCACAAAGTAGAACGCCATCCGTCATCAAGCAAGCCCTGGAGACCCTCAACCCAGAAGTCTAACGCGAAACACTGCAAGATGCAATATGCCTCACAGGAACGTTGTCATGCATGAAGCTGGGCCCTGCGGTACCAAAACGCTCCACAATCTCGCGGTGGGAGAGGAGGCGCAGCTTCTGCACATCCCAGGGAGCGGTGCCTCAATCTTCTTCCCCTATACAACCACCATATATACATACATATATATATGTACCTTATAGAATCTCTATATACCTAAGTCCCCCCCAAATAACCCCCAAATAATCCCCTAAGGTCCCTTCCAATTGTCCCTCCTTTAGTCACTTTAGTCCCTTTGTCAGTTCTCTGAACTATGCAACTATAGGGCCCCCCCGCCCCTTTTGGAAACCCACATCTACAAGGCGGCTCTTGTAGCAAGGTCCCCAGCAAAAGGAGGGCCATCGTTTCGCCTGAAGCCCCGGAAACCCTGGACCCTAGACCCCCAATAGCTTGTCAGATAGCTTGTCAAAGTGACAATCTCTGGTGTATCCTACATGCAGGTCGTTCTATGTTGTCTTGAAGCCCGAATAAGGCCAGGACAGCCCAGGTACACGGGCTGCGCGCAATCACAACGTCGCCCGACAGGTAGCCGCGTTTGCTGCCATTCGGGATGCGGAATATTCCTCAAGCCAGTTCGCCAGTCAAATCTGAACCATGGTCTTCTGTCATTCGCTAAACATAAGCAGAAACAGGCTTGACTCTGTGCAATAAGGGGGTTTACCAAAAAAACGGTACAGTGCGCGTGCAAACGGGGACCGCTAAGTGATTTCTGCCACTTGCCCCGCTTGCCCCACTTGCTGTGCTCCCTTACCGAAAACCACTTTGCCCCACTTGCCCCACTTGCCCCACTTGCCCTGCCTTAACCGCTGAGTGATCTCTGCCACTTGCCCCGCTTGCCCCGCTTGCCCCACTTGCCCCACTTGCCCCACTTGCCCCACTTGCCCACTCGCCCCCCTCCTACCCCAGCCCACCCTGCAAGTGGGGCGTGGGGCAAGCGGGGCAAGCGCGGCAAGTGGGGCAAGTGGGGCAAGTGGGGCAAGTGGGGCAAGTGGGGCAAGTGGGGCAAGCGGGGCAAGTGGCAGCCAGGTTTGAGGCAGACTTGTGGCGCGGCGAGGCCAAGGGGTGGGGGGAGGGGGGGGGGGCGCTTGCCCCACTTGCCTCACGTGCCCCACTTGCCCTACTGGCCCCAGATCATTTTAGGGTGTGTCCGAGTCCAATAGCACTTGAGGTTTTACATGGCAAGGGTATGCCCTCAACGAGTCCCAGCCACAAGTCTGCCTCAATTGCAGCGAGATTTGAGGCAGACTTGTGGCTGGTTGGTTACTTTAGGGTCTGTCCGAGTCCAATAGCACTCGAGGTTCTACTTGGCTAGGGTCTGCCCCCAACCAGCCCCAGCCACAGGTCTGCCTTGAATGCAGCCCGATTTGAGGCAGACGTGTGGCTAGGTTGGTCATTTTAGGGTCATTTTAGGGTCCAACAGCACTCAAGGTTCTACTTGGCTAGGGCCTGCCCTACAACCATAAGTGGACCATAAGTCTGCCTCAAACGCAGCCTGATTTGAGGCAGACTTGCGGCGAGGCGAGGGGGGGTGGGGGGGGGCGCTTGCCTCACTTGCCCCACTTGCCCCACTTGCCCCACT